AGTAGATGGCGCCATGCTCAGCTTCATCTAAAAACGTCTGCAACTCAACGGGAAGTGCTTTGGGTGGATATATATGCATGCCGCCCACATTGATCATATTATCCATGGTAGGACTGGCAGTTGATAGCGGTGTATAATTGTTGATCAGTATGGCGGAGAGATTCTTATCCATGGCGGAGGCGCTGGGAAACTTAACTGAGAACAACGAGAAGAAAATGAGGAAAAAATATTTTAAGTTTTGCATCGATCTTTGTTTGTTAATGGAATTTAGAAAGAATGCTATATGTATGGAGCTTATAAAAACTAAAACCAAGTACATTTCAGCTTGGGGATCAGCCATAGTACAACCATACTTCTACTCACTTGGCAAATGTCCAAAATATTTCGCGATCAACGCATCCACCATGGGAAAGTATTTAAACTCGCGACTGTAATCAGTGTTCACTATGTTATAGGCATTCTGTATACGCTGCCAAAAGCTCATGCGATCTGTGAGTGGCAGTGAACCGTGTGGTACATAAGACCAAGGCGTTACTACGCCGAACATTTGACTCATATAATGTTCCTTGGCGAAAGTGGCAGTGCTAATCACCGGCACATTATAAATATGCGCCAAAGCGAGGAAGGCATCCTGATAAAACTGCTCGACCAGTAAGAGATCGTAGACACCCTGTGTTTGCTCGGCATTAATAATCGCCTGCACCTTCGGCTGTTTGAGCGCGTGTTCGGTGCTGCCCATGCAGATTGCTTTCATCATATTCATAAAGTCCGTTATATCATTATTTGACATATCGAATATTGTGTTGCTGCCAGTGTCAGCATTTCCTAAGTAAAAACAACAATTAATTAAATACTAAATATGAATAAAGTAGCAAAACAAACATTCAAAGCAATTCCCACCACTCACCATCTTTTCGATAATCGTAAACCGGTTCAATGAGTATTTCTGTATAATTGCTGCCCAGACGTAGCGGCGCCAGCGTGTAAGCCGTTATCATGGTTACCTGTGCGCATATAGAAAAATAGTATACTATATGAGTATACATACATACATACACATATATAAAATATTTTTTTGCAACGACAAGTAATATTTTTTATTTGATTTGTGTTTGGAAAAAAGCGAAGATGGATTCTCGCTGCTAACCTACCTCATGGCCATGCTTCACCAACTCGCTTATCAGCACGCGATGCATCATAAAGTGACTTTTGCCCGGATATACATAAACCGCCAGTATTTTGGCGGCATCAGCGGCCATTAGTGTTGTTAGTATTACTATGCTAATAAGAACTTTGATTTCCTGAAAGTATAGAAAAAATTTAATTTAAACCAAGGTAACAGATAACGAATTCTATCAATTCCAAATCGCTATGCACCAATCTTAATATAAATTTTCATTATATAAAAAACTTAGTTCCTTAGTTTAGCTAATAAAATCTATAATTTTTAACACTGAGTGAGTTTAGCTATGTCTATCCGTCTGTTTATACGCGAAGTAGTCGCTTTGTTTTTGAGAAATAGTTCTGAAATTTTGTACACGCCCTATTCTCTCCAAAAAGCTGCTAATTTTTTGGAACTGCCGATATCGAACCAATATAGCATGTAGCTGCCATACAAACTGACCGATCAAACTTAAGTTTTTGCAGGAAATTTTTTCTTTATTTTACAAGATATCTTCGCGAAATTTGGCGTAGATTCATTTTCAGAAATTTTCAATTTTCTTTGAATATATTATTTGGAGATCGGACTAATATAGAATATAGCTGCTATACTAATCGATCAAAATCAAGATAAAGATCTTCATAAAAGATTTCTCTTTTACTTATACTTAGAACTGGATGGAATACCTGTAATGGAACGACTGGAATAAAATTAACATATTCCGTTGGATGTTGGATGTAAAAACTGTAAGAATTGCTCCTATGAAGGGTGTTATAGCTTCGGTGCAGCCCAAAGTTAACGTTCAAAGTTCGTTGCTGATGTTGCGAAACTATTTCCGAAATATTTTTATACAATTACGGAATTTAGAAACGATTTATGCATTTTCTATTTTGGCAGATAACTGTGTGCGGCGAGAAGCTAGCGTCTTCTCAGAGCGTAATAGTTTAATGTGATCCTAATCTGCTGGAAAATCCATTTCAATTAAAATATATTTTTCTCATTTAATGAAGTTCTAAAACAAACTGTGCATAATATTCAAGCCAATTTAAGACACAGCACATATGTACATGGCATCAAACTTTTTGATCGATTTTTTTTGCAAATAAGTTATATTTTTTAAATCTAATTTTCATGGTTAATGCTCGCACTACCTGTAGATCGTATTCAATCTATGTATGATAATAAAACCACTCGAGTGAACTAATGTCTGATTTTATGCTTTTATAAAAATGGAGATCAGAATTTTTTACGTCACCACCATAAGTTAATTAATTTTTTATTTTTCATAATGTAAAAAAAATGTTTTTTTTATTCCTTGAAAACTTTTCTAGATTAAAAAAAAAGTACGTTTTTTTTTGTACTCTGCAGGCAGTTCCCCCTTAAGTGATTTTTGAGTGATGCTCCTCTATACGCTCCGTTTTACATTTCTTCTATTTTTATACTCTGAACAGGGCATAACATGTTTGCCACGTAGTTTGTAACAGAAGGAAAAGTCGGAGACCCTATAATATGTATACATAAAAGACCAGCATGATGAGCTGAGTTAGCCATGTCCGACTGTCTGTCCGTTTGTCTGTCGGTCTGTATATACGCGAACTAGTCGCTCAGTTGTTAAGCTATCGATCTGAAATTTTGCACCTGTGCTTTCCTCACTAAGAAGCTGGCAATTTGTCGGAACGGCCGATATCGGACCATTTTACAATAGCATATAGCTGCCATACAAACTGAAAAATCGGAATCAAGTGCTTGCATTGAAAACTTTTTGTATTTGACGAGGTATCTTCACGAAATTAGATCGGAATCAAGTTATTGTCAGGAACCTTTGTATCTGAGAAGCGTATTATAGTTCGGTGTAATCGAATATATATATATATATAAGTAGTTCTTGTGTTCTTAAATACTAAATAAAACCAAAAAAAAAAAAAACGTATATATATATAATATATAATATACATATATATATATAATAATAAATCAGTAACTATTAAACTGTATATATAAATATGTATGTTCATAAATAATTTTGTTGAAAATTATTGAAACCGGTTCTGACAAACTAACATTGTCATTGTCTAAGGTCAGTTACTTTGACAATTGTTTCACAAATGCATATTTGATAATAAAAGTATCACACCGAAGCTATAATTAAATTCGAAAATATTATATTTTATGTGATTTTCATGTGTGTTAGTGCGCAATTATTGATTATTCCTTTCATTTAATAATGATGCAAAGCAAATGTATGTTTGTATGTATGCAAGTGTGCCTATATTAGTCGTGCTGATTTATAAACACACATTACATAGTCCGCATAGAAATAGAGAGTGCGCATTAATAGAACTTAAACCCAAATGTGTATATATGTGTGTGTGTGTTTATTGCAAAAGTTGGCACATAAATTTAATCTTGAACATTGAAGGACAAAACCTTGGCTATGAAACAATGGACCCAACGAAAATGTAGGCGTGAGCGAATGTAACGCAAATTTTCTTTGCTTTATTTTAGAATTTGCGTAAAATTTTTGCTTGAACCTTAGAGAGAGAAATGGTAGAGGTAAAGAAGAGTATTGAGCCGCAGTAATTCAATTCAATTCAATCGATTTTTTTGGTATCGATGAAAGAAATTCATTTTCACAAGTGTCGTTTTAATCGAGTAACAACTCTCGTTTCTTAAAATAACACCGTCGCTTAACGGTTGATCTCATATAGATGGTGAGCTCCACCTACAAGTTTTAAGTTAAGCTGCATGAGGTTATGCGTAACTTTTACTGCCAACTTCTTTTTACTCCATATAATGACCATCACTGGCAACTCAAGTACTTAACAAAATCTGGAGGATGCCTTAATAATCAGATCTTACATCCGGAACGGAAGAAGATATTTGAACTCGTGCAAGAGTTGAAACCGAACGACCATCAGGCGCGTCGCACTTTTGATGAATGCAATTTGTTTAGAGTTGAAGCTTACTATTGGTTCAATGGGTATGTTAATCAACAAAATTGTCCCATTCTGAGCGATGCTAATCCACAAACCATTGTTGAGCCGCCATTACATCCTCAAAAAGTCACTCTTGGAGGCAGATCGTGCGATTTAATACCGCTGCACCATTTTTGGTGGAATTTGGGTGAAGTCGCTTGTCTATGCAAATGAGCCCGAGATGATAGACGAATGACGTCTTGGAAGACAGTACTCAGCACGTTACTGCTGACATATTGGCGTCGTATGCTACAAAAAATGGTCGATAATTGGACCTCTCAGCCGAAATTTATTTGTGTTAGCCGTGGCAAATCCAAATCTTTATAATAACACTAAATTTTTGACCATAACAATAACTTTTATTAGTTTTCTTTCTTCTTGAATACCACACATCTAAAAAAAAAACACTCTTGGTCTTGAGAGCTTAATATGCATATTCCGGTGCTGAAACATAGCAAGGGTAATCTATTACAACAAATATGATTTCTAACCTAACCTTCAAAGGAATTTGGTCACGAGGTATAGACATCATTCAACTGAAGTTCTTTCGTATGAAAACTGCTGAGTGAATTTCAAGGCATACCATTTGAAATGGAGTGATATCTATGACCAATTTACGGTTGATGCGAAAGTTCGTTTAGATAACAAAAATTGTCATGCTGTTGTCTACTTATGCTCAAATGGTTAGACTTAGATATATGTATAATCGAAGCTAACCCTCTAGGTCAGAATATAGAATATATATTAGCTAACATGTCTGTCTGTTTGGCCGCATTATACCAGTCTCCGGTGACTAATGTTATAAGCGGAGACCCTATAAAATGTATAGATAAATGATCAGCATGACGAGCCGAGTCGATTTAGCCATGTCCTGTCTGTATATAAGCGAACTAGTCCCTAAGTTTTAGAGATATCGATCTGAAATTTTCACGTCCTTTTCTCTCCAAGAAGCTGCTCATTTGTCGAAACTGCCGATATCGAACCCCTATAGCAAATAGCTCCCATATAAGCTGAACGATCGGAATGAAGTGCTTGTATTTGTGAAGGATATTATAGCGTCAGTGTAAACGAGGTTAAAGTTTTATCTTGTTTCAATTATTTATTAAACTATTTTTCATAAATTACCATTTTTTAATATACAATACACAATTCTTTTTATTTATTTATTTTTCTTTCCCTTCGTTGTTTTTTATGAAATTTCAAATTAATAATTTTGTTTTTCGTTTATCTCTCGCTATTATTTTCCACAGTAAATTGCGGCCGAACACATTTAAGTTAGATTTTGTACTGAAATGTCAATACAATGCTTTCCAATTTTGAAGACTTGATTTTTCAACAATTTCATTTCATTAATAACTACACAAATAACTGCATATACAGGTTGGCTGAAAACTTTCTGCACTGTAAATGAAAAAATACTGTTTTTGGTACGAAATATATTTTTTTATTCAACATAATCGCCCTTACCTTCAATACACTATATTCCCATGATCCTCCAATTATTTTATGCCATCCCTATAATGACTTTCCAGAAGCTCTGCAAAATACCTGCCTACGATTGTAATAGCTTATTCATTCGACGAAAAACGCTTTCCAGGAAAGAATTGTTTCAGGTTTCTGAAGAGTTAGTAGTCGCTGGGAGCCAAATCTGGTGAATACGGTGGATGCTCAGGCAATTCGTACTTTAATTTGGTGAATTTTGTCATTGTTTAAACACCTTTGTGAGCAGATGCATTGTCTTGATAAAAAATTATTTTTTTGTCCAGCAAACTAGGGGTTTTCTCACGAACTTTTTCATCCAGCTGATCCAAAAGGCTACAATAAATATTACTCAGAGTTTATTTTTTTACCTTTCGGCGGATCAACAAAATTGTTTTTGCATCCCAAAAAACTGATGCCATAACCTTCTTTACTGATCGTTGTGACTTCACCTGCTTTGGAGCAGAACAACAATCTTCAGTCTACTGTTTAAAACGCCCCAAATTATGCTGATAAATTTGTTTTCGATCCAGTTTTTGTTGAATTGTTAACGTGCGAGGCACTAACTTTCCAAACAGCTTTTTCATATGTAATTCTCCATGTAAAATATGAAGTATTAGTTCGTCTGAGATGCCTATGGCATTAGCATTTTCACACATAGTCAAACTCGGATCTACACTAACAATATTATAAATTTGTTCAATGATATCTGGTGTGGTTACGGTTTTTGGTCGTCCTTCGCGTGGATCGCCTTCAAGCCTAGTACGACCACGTTTAAATTTACGAGCTCAAAATTCAATGGTCCGTTTTGAAGGTAAGAACTAATCACACTTCTCACAATTGTTTATAAATTTTCCATTGCTTTTGAACCTTTCCAAATAAAAAATCTATTCATTGCGCGATATTCTATTTATTTCCATGTTAAAAAAATACTCTGACACGTCAACTTCAAATGGCTTGTAAACAAAGAATTAATTGACAGAGAAAGAAAATTGGATCTAGTAGTGTTATTTCTTGGTGAGAGCAGAAACTTTTCAACCAACCTGTACATATTTATACCTATATGTACTTTTCAACATAAAAACGAGTATTTGCTTGCATTTGCTTAGAATGTGTTCTACCATATGTTTTGGCCGAGTGCATGCGTCGTGCAAGTCGTCCGTCGTGCTATCAGTATGCCGAGCGTACACATACGTAAATATGTACATTTGTGTAATTATGTTTGATTATTCTTCTCTTCACCGTTATTTATTTAATTGTTCAATAATCGAGGTGAGGACAGAAAATTTTGTCACAAAGCGATTTATATTCCGACTCGCTAAACTCATCTGGAGCTTAGCACATACATATTTAGAAATCACATGAAGATTTACTGATTTGAAAAATGTCACAACGGTCACAATTATAATAATATAATTAGTTAGCAATCCGGTCAAAACAGACATTCAAGGTTATATATGTACATTAAAAATAAGCAGAAAATTAGTGAATATGTTCAAAATATGATTAACAACAAGTAAGGAAGCGCTAAGCTCGGGTGTAATCGAACAGTTTATGCTCTTGCAACTTGGATCAAAGCGGGCTAAATATCTTTTTATAATTAAAAAAAATATAGCGAAAGGCTTCAAATTCATTGTTTGACAAGATCATGAATTAATTATCATATTAACTTATTTTGAAGGCCACAGACTCTCTTAGTTTTATTACAAATGAGATATACGTGATACTATAAGCTAAATCGTAGTAGTGTTAATGAGTTAATGTGAGAAACCGTCGACCAAAGGATCAGGATTATCCATATTAGGGACATGAGGTTTAGACCAAGACCAATTGTGCGCCAAACCAATAATATAATTGTATAACTTTTAAGAAAACGTTTCCACTTAATTTCATTAAACTAACACACATTTTGACCAACCTACACGGTTTGAAGTCGGGTAGAAAGTCGGAAATCATTATACTCATTTATGATATATCGATGCAAAGAAATGATAGAGCTGTTTGCATTGATTTTTGACATTGCTCAGGTATACTTAAGAACTTATTTTCAATAAATTTTATAAATATATGAATGTAAACATATAGGGTATATGAAGTAAAGTCAGTCGGACGTTTCGAAATCGTGAATATCAGTTTTATGGGGCTAAAACACGTTTTCGTCCGATTTTATCCATTTTAGGCACAAAGATACACCTTCATCATAAAAATTCGCTCTGTCAATTTCATTTAAATAATTAGCACATTGGCTGACATATGTGGTATAAAGTCAACTGGAAATTCGCAAATCTTTATATTATATTAGGTATATGGGAGCTAAGGGTAGTATCGATCCGATTTAACTGGTGGATAATTTGGACGATGAGCGTCAGATATCTCGAGAACTTCTCGACCGAGTTCAACCAAATTCATAACTAACAACATTCCTCTAGTATTTCTAAGTCACAGTGAGAAAATGCGCGAAATCAGATAAAACCACGCCTACTTTTTATATAACACAAATTTAAATTTCATCAAATTCTTTCACTTTCCAGTATAAAAATCAAGCGCCAATCAATAGATTCTGATAAAATATTGCACGAATAGTGCCTTTGAGGTATGCAACCTTATGACCGAAAATTGCTAACATTGTAGCAAAACTGTTCAAGCCCCCAAATATCGAATAAGTATGCGGATCCCAGTTCTTATTGCGAACTTTTTATTGAAAATATCGGTGAATCTGTGAGATATATTATAGAAATTCGAAAATAATATTTTTCTGATAATAGTTGGCCTGTACGTCAAAAATAGGTTGAATCGGATCAATATTTCCCTTAGCCTTCAAATACCTAATAGAAAGATTTTTGTACTTCCGGCTGACTTTATACCGCATATATCGGTCGGTCAATATAAGAATTATCTTAATGAATGAGAGTATTTTTTTTTAATAACAATGTATCGTTGTGCATAAGGTAGTTTTCCCCAGCTTTGATCCTGGCAAGTTGCAAGAGTATGAAATGTTCGATTACACTCGAATTTAGAACTTCCTTACTTGTTAGACATGTCGGTTTCAAGAAGAATCAAGAAGCATATAATTAAATGTTATGGTCAAGAATTTAGCTTAACTATGTATTAATATGTCAGGCATAATGTAATCATTTGGCGCCAGGTCCAAGCTATAAAGTGGATATATAATAATCTCCCAACCAAACTCACTGAGTTTCTTCCGAGTCACAATCGATATCTGTGGCCGGCGCGGTCCTGATGGAACATAATTCCTCTACTCTTGGCTAAATGTAACCATTTCTGGGGGAGTTCTTCCGTCAGACGTTTCAATTGTTGGCATTACAGATCTATATTAAGGTTCGGCAGTAGGTACTCATAGCAGATGCGTTCAGACTCCAGTCATTTAGCAATTGCGTACCCTTACGCTTAAGTAAATTCAATTATCGTGGGAGCCGACTACATTACAATTTTGCACAGCAAGAACGCAACCTTTTAAGTGTTTAATAATTTAGAGTTATTTCCTATTAGAAATGCATATATTTAATATAAATATTTCCTTATTAATTTTTTTTTATTTTAGAAAACTATTAGCTAAAAATGAGCCTTACATATATATTAAAGAACTTATTACACATAACTATATAATTTTTAAATCAACAACAATTCATAGAATTATATTCTACTAATTTACTTTCTGCTTGATCTGTTCACCGCTGATTCGCCGCAAGATCCAGCGCACCAATAAAACAAGAACTCCAAGAGCAACAGCAACGGCACCAACGACCAAAGCGACCACATCCAGCAAATAAAATTGGTACCACTTCAAGTCCAAGCCGGCAGCGCGCAAGTGACGCGCACCCTTGTGACGTATGACGTAATCGATCCAGTAGAGCGCAGTCTCACGTGGACCCATGGGCCGATCGTGGAAAATGGCCGAGAAGCGTTTAATATTGTCACGATATGTGCTGTTATGCAGCATTTGCTGGAGGCTATTCTTTAATTGCTCACTTGTAAGCGTCTGGAAGTCCAACATGATGGCATAACCATTGGCCTCGGCTTTTTTCAAATTAAGGTACTGTGGGAGTGAAAGGGGGGAAAAACTGTTAATTTTAATATTTCTTTTTTGAATTTTAATTGAATTTACCTGATCGCAGTAGAAAGGCATACCAAGTACGGGCACGGCATGGTAGACAGCTTCCTGTGAGCCGAAGAGACCGCCGTGCGCGATAAAAACACGCACATTAGGATGTGCCAAGATATCACTCTGTGGCATCCACTTTTTTATCATAACATTTGAGGGTAAATTCGTAATGCTATCGTTTTCAAATTTCCACAACACACGCTGTTTTAGCTGACTGAATACATTGAGGAATATGCGTAACTTTTCGATAGGCATATCTTTGCTCTGCACTTGACTGCCCAAACTGAAGTAGATGGCGCCATGTTCGGCGTCATCCAAGAACTGCTGTATATCGGTGGGCAATGGTTTTGGCGGGTAGATATGCATGCCACCGACATTGATCATGCTGTCGGTCGTGGGTCCAGCTGACGATAATGGTGTGTAGTTATTGATCAGTATGGCTGAGAGATTCCTATTCATTTCGGAGATGCGGGGAAAGTTAACTGCAAGTAGCCTAGGTAAGAATTGTAGGTTATATAAAATTTTAGCGTTTGCTTACTTGGCAAGTGTCCGAAGTATTTCTGCACCAACGCGTCCATTTTCGGAAAATAGGTAAACTCGCGGTCCAAGTCCATGCGCAATGAGGTGTACGTGTTATGTACGCGTTCCAAAAAGCTCATATGTTCCGTGAGCGGTAAATAGCCATGTGGCACATATGACCAGGGTGTTATAATGCCAAACATTTCACTCATAAACGTTTGTTGTCCAAATGTGGCCGAGCTTATAACGGGTATATTATAGACATGCGCCAAAGCCAAGAATGCATCCTGATAGAATTGTTCGACTAGCAAGAGATCGTAGACACCCTGTGTGTCTTTGGCGTTGATGAGCGCTTGTATTTTCGGTTGTTTCATCGCATGCTCCGTTGTCGAGAGGCCAAGAAGTATACACATTTTCATGAATAAATCTAATTCATTGCCCATGTCATAGACCGTTTTACCGCCGAATGTGTTGTATACTGGAAGTAAAGTATTATTTTAGTGTTTGTTGTGGGTAATTACTTTATGCCTAATAATATGGTATTAGATGTTATTTGCACATACTTTCCGACCAAAAGTCATAAACCGGCTCTATGAGTATCTCCGTGTAATTGCTGCCCATTTTTTCTGGTTTCAGCGTTAGTGCCGTTATCATGGTGACCTGAGGAACAGCAATTAAAAGATAAATAACAATATTTGATTGAAATTTTGTATAAAATATATATAATTATATAACTATATATATGTCAGTACATACCTCATGTCCGTGCTTCAACAACTCGCTTATCAGCACACGATGCATCATGTAGTGACTCTTGCCCGGAAATGTGTAGACGGCGAGTATTTTGGCGCCATCGGTTGCCGGCGTTTGTGCCACCAGCACTGCCAGTAGAGCGAAGAGCATTTTTGTATGCTTAAAAAACATTTTAAAATTATATATCAAGCGCAGTAATAAATTTTGTTTACTAATATATTCTAACTTAATTTTAAGCAATATTTTCGGAAATCGTTTTGAAACTCTGCAAACCGTTCGTTTGCTTGTCACCAGTAACTGAAGAAGTTAGCCTTAAAATCCGACTTATATAGCACCATAATGTCTTTTTATACAGCTCCTTAGTTTGTTTTATCTAAATATCCTTTGTAGGAAGGTCACTTCATATCAACATAGCAAACAGACATTATTACTTTTGCACATAAAAAAAATGTATCGCTTCCGGGTAAAACTAAATAAAGGAAATTTCCTTAATGTTCTGTTTATTAGGCACACAAATTAATGCCTCGAATTGCGTAACCGCTCAGAGCGCACCTTGAAATTTGCATGCGCTACCTGTCTTTGGTTTATTTGTCAAGCAGTTCACAAATTTTGCTTTATCGCGCTTATGAAAATTGTTGTTGCCTTCGATTTTAAACCTATAAACATTAAGGAAGGAAAGATACTCGTATTCTGTTTTTAGAACTGCATGTCATTCTATTGTGCTCCAGATTACATACTACTTAAGGTTGCATTAGTGTGGGTAAAAAAAAAAAAAAATTTTCGCTTGGTATTCTTAAAAATTGGAGACCATTTTTGTAGAGCAGTCATTTTCTACAAAAAGTACGCTACAGAAATGGTTCCCAATTTTTCATTGTACCAAGCGAAAAAAAAAGATTAACGAAATTGAGAGAATGTGTTTTTCCAATAACAGTGTATATTTGTGCCTAAAATTAATAAAAGCGAAACTTGCCTTAGCCCCCATATAACTAATATTCACAAAAAAATTTAGAAGAAAAAGCCGGCTGATTTTACTCCAAGAATATATTTTTATTTATATATTTATAAAATTGCTTGAAAATAAGTTTTCAAGTAGTAGCCCCAATGATTTTAGTATAATTTTTGCTGACGGGAAGTAAAATATAGTAATTAACTTAAGCCTCCCTTAGGAGGAGTTAATATGATACCAAATTTGATTGAAATCCATTCAAAATTTCGTCGAACAATGAAGTTGAATCTTTACGCTACATTTTTTAATATTACCAACACCTAAAGATATTTAGCCGGCTTTCACCATTGCAAGTTGCAAGAGTATGAAATGTTCGGGTACAACTGAACTTAGACCTTCCTTACTATATAATTCTTGTTTTTTTCCGATGATCACCATTTAAATAAACCGATTCATTTGCACGTGTTTTGACTTGAGGATATAATCTTATAAAATGTAACTCCGAAAAAAATGAAAATAAATGTCCAGTTTTGTTTTCCCCAGCCAAGGGGAAAAGGTACATCTAGCGTAAAATTAAAAAGAAATCGATTTTTTTCATATTTCTATTGATTATACCTTTAAAAATAAAGTACAACAATTTTACATTAATATCTTAAATAGTTTTTGACTTAAAGCTTTCTAAATTGTAAACGCTCGCTTTAATCAGAGTTTTCAACGTATACCATATTTAAATGAATTTTTCTCGAAACTACATTTTTCAAATAGGCTTGAGTTATTACTCGGTAAAAATTATTTAATCTTTTTAAAATTTTGTCTGCGCTATTCTTTACGAGTGGTGTTCAAAAAATATTTGGTGTTCGGATTTTTTGTTTTTTATTATTATGTATTCATTCGTCTATATTAATGTTATGACCTTCATAATAGTCCCCATTCGATATTATGCATTTATATTAGAGCTTTATCCAATCGTCGAAACACTTCTCAAACTCAATTTTTGGGATAGCCTTTAGCTCTTAAAACGATTTTCATCTATCGTATAAAACGACAGCTCCTTAAGGTTCTCTTTATTTTTGGAAGTAGGAAAAAGCCACACCGAGCCATGTCTGTCGTATATGAAGGTTGAAGCATCGTTGCAGTATTGTTTTTGCCAAAGAAATAAAAACAATTTTTTTATTACATTTTTTGTTTAATGTTCATCGCCAAGCTCATAAAAACACGTCTAGCCTTAGCGGCTGCTAGAGCCACGATAGCAATGAATTCAGCCTAAAATTTTATCGTATTTCAGGGGCATGTATGTATGTATATTAACATAATAAAAAAAATTCGTTAATTTTTGAACACATCTCGTATATTGTTCACCATACAATGACTTATCAGTTTTTATCTAATCAATTTCATAAAAAATATTTAATTTTTTCATTACTTTATGTTCTTAAAATGTCTTTAAATATAACCTTAAATCTTTAAAACAATTGCTAAAGTCTTTTTTACTTTTAAATTCCCAAACATCTCCTTATTTAGGCTGTCACATAAGGGAGACATCCTACTTATATATAATATTAGTGGGTCCAAAAAAAACAAATGTTTTTTTTGCTTCCCACTCTAAATAAGTTGGTTGATAGACACCGCTAAGAAAGGCTCCACAAGTATAAGCTCTTAATTGTTATGGGAAGGTCCTGCGCTTAACGGTTTTCTATTATTTTCTTATTGGTTAAGCGTTTACGAGATATTCGTTGTCAAACAGCAATGCCGATCAAAGGAAAACAAAAAAATTAAATAAAATAAACAAAAATAGAGAAAACACGATCAGTTTTGCAGAGTGGTAAATTCTCTACAAGTTCTACATGTTTGAAATTTAAAACTATGTTTTTTCATTATAGGTTATGATTCCTCCCGGATCCGAAGTTGTCGAAGGGGCCAATATTTAAAAAAAAAATTAAGTGATTAGTTGAAAATAGTTATGCTTTGATAGGTGATTTTTTCGAGCATTTATTTAGGAACGTTTTCTCGCTTTTGTAATTTAATTTGCAAAACATTGGAAAATTACAACATTCCTTTGGAAGATTGCCGTGGACAGTACCTACGATAATAGTAGTAATATGAGCGGTAAATACGAAGGAGCGTGTATGCAGTTCTTTCACCCACGTACCCACACGCTGAAATTGGTTACTCGGCTGAATACTATCCTCGAGCAATAACTTTTCTTGGTGTCGTTCAAATATGTTTCAATATTTTTATAATAGTGGCTCACTATGTTGGGTAATTCTGAAATCCAAAATACCCAATTTACTTCACTGTCTTTCTAATACAAGATGATCTAACAGTATTGATGCCATCATGCCATTTGCGAAAAATCTTTCAGGATTGATAAACGCTTTGAAAAAAGTAAAAAACTTGGATGGAACATGTTGATGGAATTTTCAGATATACGACCAAATTTGAGGATCAAATATTTCACCACTCATGCTCGTCACAGGGCAGGATTTCAGGAGTAGCTACACTGTGCAGAAGTAGAGGCAGAGTTAGTCAAGCAGTTGGATTTCCAGACAATTATCGACACATTCGCTGCCGCCAAAGCTCAAAAACTTTACATTTAAGTTCCAAATTGATGATTGAAGGATTTTGAACTACATGTTATCAAACTTAATTATGAAAGTCAATAGATTTCAAAAGAACAGAAAATTTTTTACTAATTAGATCGATAAATAAATGTTTTACAAGAAAGCTAATTTAATAGAGATGTGATGAGAGCATTAAATACTACGTCGTGTTTTACTTAATATTAAATATTATTACAAAAACATTGAAGTAGTAAGTAAGAAGATTGGCAATAAAATTATAAAAGTATTAAAAATATTTCGGTAGAGGATGCGCCCCATATATTTTTTCTACTGAAGAAGTCTTTAAAAACGCTTTTATTCTCAATTCGTTGAAATACACTTCCTTGTCAACTATTGTTATTAATTTTATTAAAATTTACTTTTGTTTTCATTTAAAAACACACACTTTTTGCATACAGTGTTTACCATTTTAAGCTTTCAAAATCAAGGCTTGTATATCCCTTGTCGAAACTATTTTAGTTAGTTCCGCTTTCTTCTACTATTTAGTATTTCTTGACACCAGATATTGGGCAAGCGCAAGGCCACCGAACGCTAACAGAACAAGCTTGATACTAAAATGATAACGCTTCGTTTATTGGCACTCAACTTATAAGCTTCTAAATAAGTTTGCAAAATTCTTATTGATAAACTTATTTTTTTGAGTGGCTATGTATATTTGTAGTGCCGTCTGCTAGTAAGTATCATCACTTATCTCTCAATAGGATTGCCAGATTACGTACATCTACTGGAAATGTGTTTCATCTCTATCTCAAGTTGAGCGCTTCAGTATTTATTTAGAGTAAACGTATTCCAAACGCCCTTTTTTCCCCACACGCGATATCAAAAATTAAGCACCCGTGTATGTGCAGAAAAATATTTATTCATGTACGCACTTCTGTTGTTTCAATTTCTTGCTTTTATTATTTTTAAACAACAACACTTTAATTGTGTTACAAATACATCAATAAATGCTCGAAATAAGAGCCAACTTTTTTACGGCAACATAATGTTGCTTAACAAACAATGTTGCTCAATTTCGCCTTTCTCACACTTCATTCATTGTGCAACATTTTTATAAACGTGTGCTTGTATGTGTCTTCATATTAGCTTACTTCACACACCTGATGAAATTTCACCAAAGGCTTTCAAATTTTCCTATCTTCCTACCATATAATGTGGGCCCTCTCAAGAGTGTTCAAATAAAAACACATCTAGTATTAAAAATAAAATTATCCTATCCAACCAAGATTTGACTTGTGTTTTAATAAAACTCTCCTTTTATAGCTTTATATCTCAGAAATCAGTTAGCAAAATTTTGTATATAATATATAGAATAAATATATCTGCATGAATATACATATAAACATATTTGTATGCATAAAAGTAAGATGCGCTAAAATTTATTACTAAAAATATTGCTACTACAACAATAAATCAAATACGAACAACAAACTAGTAATACGAAAAACAAAAAAAATAATAACCAATAAATAATTTGAATAAAATCACTTAACTCGAAAATATTCGAAAACAATCAATGTGTTTAATATCCATTGAGGTCATTCAGTTATATGTGCGTATATCAATAATATTTAATTTTTAGAAAATATTTTCTGGTCACTAAAGACCTAATAATATTTTCAATGACAATTTTTAAAAGTATACGGTAAACAAATATCAGACACATATATATACTTTGACAGCTATCTCCGCTTAGCAATTTGGTACCTCGAAAAATTACACATATATGCTTTCTACAGCAAATGTTAGACATGTTCATTATTAAAAATTAAAATTGAAAAATCTGCTGTAGATGCAATATATTATATAAAAAGTTTCATCATATATTAAATCAGGTATGCTTTTTGGTGTTTCACATGATCATTAAAGAAATTAGTAACAAATTTTGATAGGCTTAATTGGTATCTGCGTCTAAAGTAAAACATGCAGCGTCATTGACTTGTCAATGTTAATGTCTAATCAAATTTGGTCTTTCTCCATCAATTAACATACTCATCACAATGATTTGCAAAAATGTAAACAGTAAGTGCTTAATAAAAATTCATTGATAAAAAAACAAACTGATAATTCTTATCTGGTCCACACAATCAGTTTCACAATACAAAATTTATGTTAGCATCAATACCCTTTGAGACGTACATTCTCATCGCAAATTTTTGATTATCATGTATATAGTACTATTTGAAAAGTAAACAAATTGCAGTTTTTATATTTTTGTAATTTACTACAAAGTACTATTTATAAAATAATGAGACGTTAAAGCTTTTCGTTGTCAGAGCATCTCACTCTTTTGCTCACATATTACTTATTCTTATGAGATTAGCTATGTAAATAGTTTAACTAGTTGCCGCCTTACATTATTTATTTGGCAGCAATTTCTTTAGTTAGTGATTATTTACGTCAGAGGTTTGTCTATTAGTTATTTTCACTTAATTGTTGTTATTATGTAACGTATTATAATAGCAAGAGAAAACAGTGTTACCATATGTTCCATTCTTTTAAACATAATTCTCGCCGTATTTATATTATTTAGTGCTAGTTTAACAGCAATTAACCATAATCTAAATTAGATAATATTAGAAAATTGTAAAAAAAATGGGAAATACTGTTATACTGGAAATATTTAATTGTGCCTTACACCAATATGTTAGAAAATCGAAGCTGAGAATTGACTTGTCCTTCCAAGCAAGCAAATTAATACAGCGGGAACAGATGCTTCTCAGTTTTTCGACACTAGATTAGATTCTGACTGTTTCTGCTATCCATTCTTGTCAACCAGCTATACGATCTTTAATTTCGTTGTCTGAGTCAACTTAGAAAAAGACGAATATGATGCTAGAGTCTTTGTTATCTAACAAACTGCCTTCAATACATCTTATTCGCTTATTTAGGTCAAATATGGACCGTTTGGTTCGAAACTGTTGCTTTTTTGTAGGAGTTGCATTATGACACTAGCATCGAAACCCTCAAACAAGCTTTAAGGGCATCTTTCACCAGCAAAACATTCGCCATAGAAAGTAAAGATTTGTTGCCGCATATTCCTCTATGCAACGACTTAGCAATTCGTGAGCTTAGCGACCACTATCGATGTCTTGACCGACTTGTGCAGAAAAGTTTGAAAAATTAAGACGTTTTCGAGTAAGATGTTTTCACTAGCTTACTGTATTGTCAAATTTTTCTTTTCATATCAACATTCTCAAATTCTTGTATACGCAGTGAACAAACATATTTTGATTACATTTTTAATATTTTCTAAAATATTTTCGTATATTATGCAAAATAAAATTCAAATTCAAAACAATGAAAATAATATTTGAAACCGATTGCTAATGCAATCATGAGCAGAACTTTAAATGAAAAGGAATGCCGAATTGCGTAACAGCGGACTTTACGAACACAAACACAAAACGTGTCACCCGAGCACGACGGAACTTCTCTTGTCTTTATACAATACCGGTTTGGTAACAAAGAGTCCTAGTGGAGCATAGTCTAAGCTAAAAAAAAATCTTGTAAACAATTTAAGATTAAAACCACAATGTTCGTCTTCGAGAAGAAAAGTTTTGTTTTCTTATTTGCAAAAGAAAAAGGGCGTTTGGAATACGTTTACTCTAAATAAATACTGAAGCGCTCACATTTGAGATAGAGATGAAACACATTTCCAGTACATGTGACAGAAT